CCCCGGTTCCTCTGCCCGGCCCTGCCGCAGCAGCCGCCGCGGGGCCGCCCAAAGGGGGCCGGGGGCGGTGGGATCGGGCGGGCAGCACAGCGAGGGGAGGCCGCCGAGCCCCGAGTTCGGCCAGAGCTGTCCCCTCTGAGCCGCTGGCCGAGCCAGGCACCGACCCAAAGGAGTTCTGCGTATCTGGACTGGGAAGACGGAGGAAAGGCCGTCCGAGGGGAAGTCACTCCTGTGAGGGCATGGCTGTTGGAAGGGGATGAATCCAGCGCAACTGGCAGCGCAACTGTGCCAGCTGCCAGCACCGCAGCCAGCGGCGAGCACCCCGGCAAATAAGGGCACCAAAATTCAGAGCCCAAGGCCGAGGGTGAAAATTTTGCCAGGAATTACCTGAAAATTGCTTCTGTTAAAAAAGGGGTGTATTTGAGAACTGCTTTTAGGTCTCGACTTTGCCCTGTTGTTTACTCAATGCACAAGGCAAGGTTTATAAATTACTTTTTATTGGACTATCTGCACTTCTTGGCAAAAAAACCTAAGCTTTGGGGCAAACAAAACCTTCAGACTTGTGCAGCTGTGGAAAGATGTAATGGGTACATAAATTACAGGATCTCCTCTCCGTGCTGCCACACAGGCTTGGTATAGGACTTGCAAACTGTTGCTACATAGGGAATACCCCTGGGGAGCAGACTGGGGGAGTTCGAGGTATACAAGACACTCACCGAGTAGGTTTTGGCTCTGCACTATCAGTATAGTGAAAACAGGCCCTCATTTGCTGTGACTGGAACAAAAGTAGAACTGCTAAGAGAAGACAAAAATGTATCTCTCTTAACAGCTTTGGAAACATCTCAGAACTGTACCTGGAAGAGTAGCAGGTTATGCTGTGGAAGAAGCAGAATAGGAACATTTTCCAAAATTCCAAGTAAGAGAGTTTGCCTTTTTGCCAGCTAACCTAGGTCCAGGTGATCAGATCAAGCTGCATTTCATTTAAATTTTGTTCCTTTCTGTTTGGACTGGGTTTTTTTTGGTTTGGTTAGTTGTTTTTTTTGGGTTTTTTTTTTTGCCTTGTGCTTCCTCCGTTGCTTAAGCCTTCTCATCTGCTTTATTTCTAAACAGAACACAGGATCAGAAAATATTTCATGGACGATGGAGCCGAGTTCCTTCCCTGCAGCAGTTAAACAGGTCATACAGTCCCATTTGTAAATTTACCAAGCTTTTGTCTTGAAAAAGGTTTGGGGTTTTTGCCCCCATACTCCTGTTGGGAAGCTGTTGCAGCACTTAATTGGAAACTTTTTTAATCTCTGCGATGAATTTTCATGGCAATTTTCTCAGATGGTTTCATGCTGGCAAAATGATACTTCAAGTATCTTTCCTTTCAGTGTTTCTCTTACCCTCCTTTATCTAACCCAGTATAACTGGAGAGAAATAATACACATTTTCATAGATTTTCATTAAACAGCCTGAATAATGTAATGAAATGACGGTAACAAGATAAATTAAATAAGGTTATAAACTAAGATAAATCCTTTATAGAGGTGGGTTTCATAGCTTCATCTCCCTTGTAGTATATGGTTTTGCTGCAACAGATGTATATGCTAGGTTTTTTACCTAATTATCTTTTCTAAACTATGAACTATCATATGGTAAAAGAAAATTCCTGTTATTAATTCCAAGTCCACAACCATGAACTTTGTACACTCTAACCTCATCTCCTTTCAGTAACTGAAGTTCAATGACCTCAATGATATTCCAGGCCTTTTCTAGTTTGACACTGTCTCCAGACTTCGTCATCAGAAAATGTCATAAGCACACACTTACACTGTACCAAAATTAGCCATGATACTATCTGCTATTTTTAGTCTCCAAGCTAATCCAAGAAAATTCTGTTGGTAACTTTCCTCTGAACATGCACTTTCCCTTTCAATGCAAGAGATTGAATCTTTGTGAAAATAGAGTCAGTCAAACATTGAAGAATTTGTGGTTTTCTCTATAATTTTGATATGATTTCAGTTAATTTCCTTCCTCTAAATTATTATTTTCTCTCACAGTAAAGCCTTTCTCCCACTGTGGGCTAATTTTTGATGGGCTAATGTATAAATGGTTTAATAAGGTAAACTGGAAAAAAAGGAATTGTTTTTATCTGGTAGAAGGGCAAGATCTCTCATAGTCTGTGTGTCATAAAGTGATTTTTTATCCTTCACTGTTTCAAATTTCCATTTACGTGGATATGTTAATTGTTTTTTCCCATGCTGTGTGTTTTTAAACCCTTCATAATATTAAAGTTGTCTTATTAGGGTTGTAGTTTATTTAGTTCCTCTCCTCTTCCATACTACATTTGCTAATCTTTAGTAATATGATGCAATAATTGCCTCATTCACTTAGCTGCTATTCAGGTCAGCATTTCAGGCAAAGAAACAGATTCATAAAAATTTTTGTCATTACAAAAATAAGCTTTGTAAGGAGTAATATGCCATTAGGAGCAGAGCTGGGGTGCCTGAAGCAACTATACAGAGCTCACTTGGCTGTGTGCCTAGTGGTCAGCAAATTCACAGGGGTTGTATCTAAACTGGGGAGTAGAAGGAGGAGCCTTGCCGTAACTGTATCTCACTTAATTGCTGAAATGCCTGGTTTTCCTAGTCTTTGTTACTAGAAGTCACTGTGATTTACTCTAACAATTACTAGTTTGGTCTGAGTCATTCTTCATTATCATATGCTATGCTCTTAAAAAGTAATACTTTTTTCCATTGTTTATATTACCTTAACCTTCTCAAAAACATTTCGTAATTAACATGTGATATTTTTTCCTGTATCTACACCAAAACAGGAAAGATGTGCAATGTTCTGACTGACCAGCATTCTGGAGAATCTTGTCACAATTTCCAAAGAGCATGAGTGAAAATGAAGCTTAGGGTATTCTCATCAGCTGTAGTACATATGGTACAAATCTTACTCCATAGCAGATATTTAAAATTAAATTCTGCTGTGTTGACAGACCACTGCAGAGCTCAGACATCTGAAACTGCCTATTTTAATGTGAACAGTAAAACTTTTCATTTAGATTCTTACAACATATATCTCAAACTAATATAAACATGCTATTCTAGGATGAAACAATGATTTCATTGTTTGCCTTATGCTGTAGAAAGGAATGAAAAAGGGAGAGCTGCAAAATTTTCAAGAATGAATCTGAACTTCTGCTCCTTGCATAGAGAACTGGATTTTTCTTTGTGATACCCACTGTAAATGATGCCACTTAGCATTCCCAGTGATGACTCCAAAGAAGTCTGATTTGTGCTTAGTAAAGAAAGCATGTCAAGTTAGAATTTCTAAAAATCATGTGTTTAAATTTTGACCATTATCTGGTAATATGGAAGGCCTTAATATTTTCTACTAGGTTCTGACTCTCGTATATTTGCCTTACTTTGTCTTACCCTGTTAACATGATTGGTACAAACCTTAGCCACATATGGGGAGCTGTCTTTCCAGAGCCATAAGAATAAGCCAGAGAATATGAAAAGGAAGCTCTCCTGGTCTCATGCCTTCCTTTCTCATATTCAAGGAGATGCAGAAGCTTATTTTACATCTTTGAACACCATGTCTCCTGATGATTGGTTACTTTGGTTAATGTCCTGAAATGTAAATAGGAGGTCAGTGTGTACCATGTCTGCTATTTCAGGGACATAGCTATTAAGATGGAAGAAGGCCTCTGCTTTGCTAGGCACCAGTCAGATGGATCAAAAGGGCCTGAAGCCTGTGGATTTCCTCATTGCCAAAGAATGCACTTTGCTTCAAAGTTTCATTTTCAATCACAGTGAATCAAGGGCTTCAAATATGAAGTGAGAGATTACAGATTCTGAATAGAGGACTGGCTTGTATAGATGGATCACGCGAGTTACTATAAATGTTAGGTCTACAAAAGAGCCTTTCAAGCCAGTGGCCTGAAAATTATAGTCTTAGATGGAAAGGGTGAGCCTGAAGTGGGGAGTAAAGGACATTATCCCAGTCTGCCAAACTGTATAGACTCTAAGGAGCATAGACTGTGGGAGGAGGGTGTGGGTTACAGTGTATGGAGACCGTGGATCTCATGTTTTACTTCAGTCAGAAGATACATCACTGTATCATCTTGCTACAAGATGCTTGCTCTTTTTGTTCTTTGAGCTGGGAAGCTTATGTGGTGTGAGGCCATGAAAAACCACCTGCTGGAACCCAGTGATATTTTTCAGAATAAATAACCTGAAAAGCTTGCATTGTTTAAAGTGCAGGGGAAAGTCTGTGAGAAGTTTGTGTTCTACATGTCGAACAAATTATTCTTCTTTAGGAAAGATTTTTCAGCCAACCCTGTGGTTTGAGCCCTCTCATGACACAGTGTAAAAAGAAATGACTGGTTATATAGTTTGGTTTAATGCAAAGTTCAGGTTCTACAGTTCCCTGATATACACAGACACAGTTGTTTAAAGACAGGTTTGTAAGTTGCTTATCCGTGCTTTTTCCTTTCTTCTCTTCTGTTTTTGACGGGTTAACCCATACCTCCTTAGTAATAACTCTGGGAAATGTCCCAAGAAAGCTAAAAACTTCTCTGAAAAGTATGTGTTTTCTGAGCTAAAAAAGATACATTAAACTGTACTTCTATGTTTTCAAATTATACAGGAAGATTATGAAAGTCATACTCATATTTTAGATCTCAATAAAATTTTACAGACTGCTGTGTAAATATACACAGAGTAGTTCTTAAGTGGTTTCCTGTAATAGTTACTCTGGGCTTTCATCTGGTGTAATTTTCACTGAGTGCCATAATGACAGGTTCCACAAAGGCCCCCTCATTCATTTTTAGCTCTACCAATTCAAAACAGAAAAAAAAACCCAAACCAACAGGACTGAACATCCACTATGTAGACCAGGCTCAGAAACAAGAACTTCTTCTGGTCAATCCTGTCTCCCCACAGTGGGGACTGGTCGTTCTAACTCTATTGCAAAGCTGTATGTATAGACAAATATTTATAATGCAATGGAATGGAGATGGTTACTGGCACATTAGGTAAGGTGAATGTTGAGTAGCAGCAAGAAATTAATTAATTTTATGGGGCAGGTCAGTTTGACCAGATCAAAGGGACTGAGCAGAAAGGCTAAGGATCAAATGGAGCCTCCCCCACAGCAGGTAGCCAGCTTTGAAATCATGTTCTGGATGAAGTCAAGTAAGAACTTTACCAAGCTAAGCAATTACTATCAATGTGAGTTAAAACTAAGTCTAACAAGTTTGCTGGGAAGATACTATTCTTAAATAAAAGAATTTTAATAAAGCAGTAAAGATGCTCTAGAGGATAAAAACTTATTAAGCAAAATTAGAATGATTCAGTTAGAAATCTAAGGCTTGTCTCTGTCAGAGCTGTATTTTTGGTTAATTGGAGGAGATTGAAATCATAAACAGTAATGTAAACAAGAAATGTGTATTTCCCATCATGATCCTTCCCCTGATCATTGCAAGTTACCTTTCTGCAACAAAATTCTTCAAACCTTCCCCCCCACTAACTCAAAAGTTTGTTGAAATATGCATAAAATAATTCTGTGGCAATGCTCTGCCTTTTTCTAGTAAGATCATCCTCTACACTCTGCTGACCAGTTCCTACAGAGAAAGATTTTAAAGCTGCCTTATTTCAGGGAGTAATTATTCAGGTAAGTTATTGAAATCAAAAGTCTACGTAAAAGCCTTTTGGCTTAGAACCTAACCAACTAATCCTCGTGCTTCTGCCACTCTGTACAGTAGATTGAATTTAGGTAGCACTCTACTAACTGCTAATTGAGATATATGGACAGTGTTTACATGTGGCAAGCTAAACCTTGATGAAACCATTTTTCCTAGCCAAAACAACTAGGATGTTTAATCATCAGTGAATATGTAAACACTGGAAGTGTTGAGATGATGTTTATGGAGCACTGATGTTTGTCTCTAAAATTAGCTCAGGAAGAACGATTTTCTTGAAAGGATGACTGTATATGAATGCCTGTATTTCAAGTAATTTAATATTGATCATCTGCTTTTATTTACAGACTAACAAGATGGGAGGCTTTGTATAAAGGAAAATTTGGATATGAATACAGATACGACAGAGGTACACCTTGCTTTACAAATTCAAAGCTTTCTTTGTTTTCTACTAATTTAACTTCTTCCATTTTGCTTCCCATTCAAATATTCCTCCTATTCAAATGTTCTCTTTTTTTCAAATTACTGTGAGCTTTTTTTTTTTCTTTCTCCTGTAACATCTTGAAAAATTGATCTTTGGCACAGTTTTCTAGAGAACAAAAGCACACTGTTGAAATATTCTTTTTCCTGCATGACTGTATTTTATGTCATTAAAGCCAACTCTGGGTAATAATGTTAATATGATAAATTATTCACTACAGTAAATAAATCTCGTAAGATTTCTCTAATTACTATTAGGCATTCTGTTGAACATTACCAGAGTCCTTTGTGGGAATTAACTTGTAAGTGAATACATATTGAACTGTGGATTTCATAGGCCATATACAGACATCACCTTTATAGAGATTTAGAAGCGTTGAAAAAACTGCACGCTCACCTGTCATGACCAAATGAGACACAATGTAACACAGCAGTTCATGCTGCCACAAATCAGGTCAGTCTGTCTCTTGGACACTTACCAGATTGATCTGTTTGCTCCCTGTCCACTGGGCCTGATATGTATTAAGCTTCTGGAGTCTGAAGAGTCCAGGTGCTTCATTTGTGTTTGCATTGTGAGGTACAAACTTTAGTGGTCCCCTCTGAAACTGAACATACAGTTCAACAATCTGACTCCCATGCATGTTGTTGGCTCTTCAGGCTTTTTGTTGTTGCTGTTTAAGTGCACTTTCAAGAAGAATTTAACATTTGGGGCTATGTTTCAGTTCTTTGGGGACACATAGATATGAAGGTAAAGACTTAGTGAGCTGCAAAAGAACTAAAATATGAACTCTATTTATTTACAAGGTAGCACATTTATTGATTAAAAAACAGTATATAAATGCAATTCGCTGTTAAATTTCAAATTATTAGAAAGGGTGCACTGTGAAACAAGTATCTCCTTATATAAAAGGTAATACTCAAAATGTTACAATCTTAGGCAAACTTCCTTTGGAATTGTGCTTCAAAATGCAGGTATAAAAATGACATATGGGCTTGCAATCAATATTTTGAGATAACACACTTTATAATCAGGTTTTTCTAATCCTTATAGCAGCTACATGAGTACAAATGTGTTCCACACAGACACAGTATATTCATAACAATTTTTAACAGTCATACAACTTATCTGATTGGATTCTATATTAAATAAACCATTTGATATTGGCAGGAAGCTTTATATGATTAGAACTGTTTAGGGCAGAAAAATACTACAAGAAAGAAAGATTTGTGATAAGGACACATGATCACAGTGCTCATGAAGTAATGAATCATTTTTACTGAGACATTTTACAGATAGAAATTTCAGAAAAACTTTCCTGCCAGGTATATGTCTTCTCTCCTAGTTTTTTACCTCCTTTTCTTTCCACTCTTCACATGATAATGAAAGAACCTCTTTTTATTCTTCTCCTGCCCCAGTATATCCTGAATGCCTCCAAGGTATCATTCTTGGTATTATATTTTTTTCAGGATTTCTTCCCTCAACTCAAAATTTAAGCCTGGAACCATTAGCTGGTGTTGATGAATGAAATGTTTGGATTCTGGATGAAATCCCACCTGGTCTACTTGTTGAAGAGTTTGTCCAAGATATTTCAGTCTTTTTCAGACAGTAACAATAATCCCAGGTCTTTTTCCACAGTGTCCCTTGACATCTCATTTAGCTCTACAGTTACAGAATACTAGTGACTCAAAAGATTACTCCAATGAGTTTTTGAAATTGAAAAAGTTTGAAAGGTCTCTGTTTCTAAAAACTTTATAAAACTATTTCTCAATTTTTTTACATTGTCTATAGTCACAAGAGAGAATTTTTAAGGAGTCAGAGAGGAGTCAAGGTCACCAGACAAATGGGTCTAACAAAAACTGACTGTGCCCACAGAAAAGAACAGCTAAACTGTTCTTTTTCATCTCTTTTTTGTTGTTTTTCTTCTATTTCAGTTTTGCAGGTCAGCATAGCAAATAGTATTGTTCTTGGGCATCAAAAGGAATAAAAGGAAATAAATTATTACTGTAGCATTTAGAGACTGATCCTGTTAGCTACTGGGCTGAAAGCCTCTTTGAAAGGGCTAAAACCTTCATCTCCTTTTGATACGATTAAGTGCACTAATCATCTGTTCAACTTGAGTCAGTGTGAGATCCAAGTACGAGCACTTCACAAGCTGTTCCATGTCGCTCTGACCAAAGCTACAGTAAAGTCAGGCTGACACCAGCACCTGCCCAAGGTGAGAAACTTCTCCTTGGGAACTAAGTCAGCTCTAGTTAACAAACCAGCCAACCAACTGCTGTTGCTGCCACCTTTAACCAGAAGAGGGGACACAGGAAGTGACCAGCTCTAGGGTCGAGGTATCAGCAAGACAAAGTGCAGCAGCTCTGCTCTAAACTCTGCTTGTTTTTTTATCCCACTGGGGATTGAACCAATTATTCTGGGAAAACATGAATTCTAAATTCCTTAGAGATGACTCAAAGTATTTCAGTTAAAGTTGCTTCAGAGTTGCACATCTGACAAATCAATATTTTTAGCTTTTAGGAAAATGTCTGTAGTTTAATTAATATTTTAGATTAGAGAGGGGTTTTCCCTGCTCTTGAGTTGCTATATTTAAGCTACTTTTAAACTGAATTAGAAATGTGTTTTGAATCTCTGGTAACTTTGGTTCTTGGGCATTCTCCACCAAAACACATTTTATAATTCTGTACTAGTAAATACCAGTATGGTAGAATAACTTTATCAAATGTAAATGACATAGTGATATTTTTGGCTATATAAGAAGTCTTTGGTTTCAAGGCATTTTCCTCAAATTAAGCACCTACAGAAAAAGAATGATCATTCATATGTCACAGAAGGAGAAACCGAAACACAGAATGACAAGCCAAAACACATTAGCCATGTAGTAATCTTGCAGACCTTTTTAAAGCATTCATTTTTCAAGAACGTTCGGCATCTACATGGTTTCAGTAGTTCTGCATAGTCCTTCAAAACTTACATCAACGGGTCTGATACTGAACAACAAAGAGTGGAAGTATAAGGTATAAATTGCTTTTTTCCCTCCCAGTACACATTTTATGACCCTAGTCCTGTTTTCTAGCAAGCAGACCATTCTTTCCTGGAAACCTTCAATGTTTCACTTTTTTAGTAGTGATTTCATTTCAGCTGCATTTCAAAGTTAATGGTTCTGCAGCAAGTCACCAATCCATCTTACAGTATCCACCAGTACAACACTTTTAACACTTTCCTACAGAATGTTTTTCCCATCTTTCCAAGTTGTTGTGGGCAACATTCCACTTAAAAATTATCTTGGAACTCACTAACTCCATTTAGGTAAAAAACCCAACTTTAAATTACATGTATTCTTTTCAAAACTGCTAAAGCCAACTAAAGCAGCATTTCTGAAAATTTCTTTAGAATAAATAACTCTTGGGATAATATCAGTTAGATTCTCAAAATATGTCATGGTTGCATGGACAATCAGATAGTGATTAGAGCTCCTATAGCTCTTTCCAACAGATGTGTGTTCATGTAACACAGGCCTCTAGTCAGCAGTCCAAAGGTCTTTTCAAGATGAGATATATATTTTTCATCCTAAACATGTTATTCTTAGAAGGTGGATTTGAATGTTGAGAGCAGTAAATTATTGAAAAGCACTCTAATAGTTCACTTTCCATTTGCAACAAATCAAATGACTGAAGAAAAAATTGTACTACAAACACTTCAGAGAAAGGGTCTTCCTAATTGAAGAAAATTTGTTTGAATTCTAGTGACAAAAACTAGAATTAAGTTAAATGATGTATGAAGTGAATAGCAAACAAAGTGGTAGAATACTTGTAGCTGATGAGAAAGCAATTCAATAATAGAGAGACATTAGAAATTACTTTGCAAATATTTATATACAATACATTTACTTAAATTGAAAACCATCTACTCTTGGAAGGAACTTCCTTTTCAACAGCAGTGATTTGGCAAAAACAGCCCTGGGGGCATTATGTCCTGACATTGTTGACAGGCATGAAAAGTCTTCTGTATGTTTCCATTCCTAAGAAAACAAACTGATAGCTCACATTCACTTTCATTCTCAGCTTGTGTTTCCTACTAGGATCATAGCTAACATGTGCTTCTTTGGCTTTAGGATAAAAAGTGTTGCATATAACTTCTTCATCTTTTACTCATCTGACAGGAACTGTAACTGCTCATTCTTCTCCTTGTTGTCTTCCTTAAGCAACTTCTCATCTTCCTGCCTGATGACCTTCTGTTCCACTCCTACTTCAGAGATCCCACCACAGGTGGTTTACAGCTTGTTTACATATTTGCCACAAGTCTTTTCCCCCAACCTAATTTCATGTGCAGAGATGTGGAAAAAGAAAGGAAAAAAAGTAGTTTTCTTCAAATGTTGAACAAAGGCTTTAATAGGAATAGAGAGAGAAAACACCTTCAAAGTTATACTGTCTTTAGTTCTGCTTCACTAGAGGTCCCTTTGTCTGGAGTCTATCAGTTTTACTCCTGTTTAAATAAACAATACACCTGTCCTTTCTTGCATCTTCCAATGACAGGGTGACTATACAGTAGCCAAATTCAAAATAGACCAATTCATATGGAAAAAAGACATCTGTCATACAGACAAATATTTTTGAAGTTTGAGCACTGGAAGTAGGATTTTTTGGGTGTTAATTACCTAAATACACAGAGGAGCACACAGCAAAGTATTCAGGTTTCTAAGTGTGTGTCTAGTTCCCAGTCCAATTCAATAGCACTTGCAAAAGTGTCAGCAGTGACATAGGGCTACCTGAAATCCCTGTGTACCTTCAGAGCACATGGATAGTCATTCATCTTCAGAAATGTAGTACTTAGCTCTATTGTAAAGTTAATTCTTTATGTTGTTAATGACAAAGAACAAAATAAAATAAACCCCAAGAATATCAGCCAACAGAAAGCCTGAATTATTTCTTATTCAGTGAATGACCTCTAGTGGTCATTCATCACAGCTTTCACAGCAGTTGACATGCCAGCTCGGAACATAATGTGCATTTTTTGTGAAATATAGAACATGAGAATCAATTTTTCTTTTTTTTTTTTTTTTTTTTTCAAAACTGTGTGTTGTGAAATTTTTCTCTACCTCTGGCACTGTTAAAATCATATTTTTTTTCACTTTATACAGTGAGCCCTGGGTACTCTGGAGGAGTTTTAAGCCAGAGCTCTAGCACCTGCATTGCCCCTTGCTGTTTTCTCTTTGCTAGCCAGTGCCTCCCTCAATCTTTGAAACCTCCCTCAGCCTCTTTGAAATTTGTCAGAGACACCCTTCTGTCATCCAACACAGCCTTGAGTGTATTCTGTTACCTTGATTACCTCTGTTCAGCTTCTCATAACAACATTGATTTGCCTGAAAAGGGCCACCAACCATCATCTCTCACTGCTGGCCAAAGTAGACCACTTCATTCTGAACATGGAGGGAGCTTATCTGTCTAAAAAGCAAACTCAGCAGATGTAATATTTGCAATATAATTGGGAAGAGAGCTCTAATCCTCAGTATTGTGGGACATGAAAAGAAGTCTGAGTTAAACATTCAGCAATATGTCAGAAAACAAATGGTATTCTCATCTCACAGGGGTTTTATCAGCATTTCTGCTGATCTTTCTGTGGCTTCTTTAAACAGTTGGGCCAGATTGTTCTGCTGGACATGCATATCAGTCCAGATATTCAAGAATTTATTAAAAGCTTTTGCTAAAGATGGAAAATAGGTTCTGAGAAATATCTCCTCTATTCCTACCTTTCTCAACTATGGGTGTTATACAAGAATTCTTATATTTTATTTTGTATGTAAATGAGCATATCATATCTGCAACCCAAGCTGCATCGCAGGTGAAGTATCCACATGATAATTTTGTTAATCTCGGGTAGCTTTTGGTAGTCATCTTTTCCACTACACAAACCTGGTAACAGAGGAGGAACAGCACCTTCAAGAGGAGACCAGTGATCAAGGAATTTATGGTTAAAAGTTTTTTGAGATTGCTTCACAGCCCTACTTCCAGTACTGAGAGATCCTTGAGAGGAACTTTAACAAAACGTTTTATCTGTTTAAAAGGCATTCTGAAATTCTTGCTTACCAGAATAGTGTCAAAAGAAGAATGATTTATGTGAGAAATAAAGTTTGCTGACAGAACAGTGATGAACCTTTTCTATGAAGGCAGCATAATCTACATTGAAGATGGGTTTTTTTCTTAAAAAAAGAGCAAAAGAGTGGACAGTCTGTATGACTATCTGTGTTGTAGTGTTCTAGGTATTTTGCAAGAAAAAAAAAAAAAAGGAATAGATCTGTAGATGAGCATGAGATGTCATCACAGTTTGATCAGAATGCTTACCAGAGGAGGAATTACAGTATTAAAGGAATTTGTCCCCTAATTTCTCATTCATTCTACTGTAAGTGACAACAGCAGGTAGATTCTAGAGAATGCTTCATTAATATTTTTTGCTTCCTAGAAATAAGAGGATATGCATCATAAAGGTAATATTTATAACTAAGGTATTTAGGGGCTTGTATACCAAGTCATGTACAAGTAGATGGTCAGTCCTTAATCATTAAACCAAAGTATTAGAGAATACTTTGTTTCTAGTCTGTAGTCAAGTCTAATTCAGACATTCTTTTTATGTTAGAATTGATGTCTAGAAGCTACTCAAAATATTTTTTTCTAATATCCAATATTTTTTAACATCTCATTCATTTATCTCTGTTGAAACAGCTTGATTTATCTCTGTTGTTTGGTGAAACACTGTAGTAAAAAGTATTAGACAAAATAATTTTTTTATTATTAAATATTTTTTTCTTTGAATGCTGACTTTTCCACTGAAAATTTCTTTGGAATATAACCTAAGAAGAAATCTTCTTGTCTTGTTCCTAATATGATCAGTTGCTCAGATTTTTCTGGAAATTGAAACTGTATGGTACCATGTGTCTCTCTCCTCAGTACTTTTAAATTATACATACTGGGACTCTTACTCTATATTTGGAATTGATTGGTATTAGACAGTATAATTGGCTATGCAAAAGCTAACTCAGCAGAAAATTATTTTCTATGTAACTAGCCCTGTGTAGAATTGGAAGGGTTTCCCTGAGTTGGTCTGGTCAGTGTGTCTGTGTGTATAATTTTCTCTGGGCTGAGAGTCCTTCTTCAGGGGTATTATGTGCATGTAGAGTGCTTTGCCTAAAACTTCATCTGTGCTCAAAGCCTTCATATCAAAATCCAACATAGTTTCTAACTAGTCCCTGCACTGGCTACGAAGATTCTAGTATTTCGTTTTTAACAAATAACTCCATTTTAATGTAATTTCCCATTTTGAAGCTAAGCCCTAAATCCATGAATATTTTGGGCTTGTTGCTCCTGCAAGACATTAAATCCAAATTTATTATCGTCATTTTACAGAGTAGCTCTTTAACAGAAGTATTCAGCATCAAAATCAGCTCAAGGATACTAAATCCTGTTGGTTGCAGAATTGGGTAGATCTTCTTTTTGGAGGCTCAGAATAGCCAGAAATACAGCTCATGATCTTTTAGCTCAATTTTGCCTCCATTCTCTGAGCAGAATTTAAAATTTAGCAAGGGCACAGCCTTAGCTCCATAGCCAGCTCTATTAGCTCCATAGAGAAGGGTTGCAAGTGCATTGTCATGAGAAGAGTTTTTTAATTCAGCTTGGATGAAGATCAAGAAATAGCAGCAAATCATATTGACCTGCATTTCACCAAGGGCTCCCACAGAACTGCGCTTTTGAAGTTCAGAAAACACCTGACTTGCATATTGAAATCAATCCATCACTAAAGATTTCAGGAAAGTGGAATTGGAACTTACCCCTTAATAGCCCTGCAGAAGTTACACATTACCTTACAAAGAATTCATAGGTAAAGAATTAATTCCCCAAATCTTTGTATAATGAACATGTATTTGCTTCCTATGTTTAAAGAAAGCTCTTTTCATCTTCCTCTTTAATAGTTTGAGGAGGTTAAGAAGTTAAAGATGCAAAATGTGTGGGCAGCACTGGATAGACTTACATGTCAAACTTCTGTACAATAAAATTACATTCACATTTCCACTGAAACAACTTTGACAAGAACTAATGAAATGTGACCTATGCTTGTGACATTAGCCTCTGTAAAATATGTAAAAGTTGGTTACTATCAGATATATTGCTTTAGGAAGGACATTGACAACAGGTTGAGGGATGTGGTCCTCTCCCTCTATTCAGCCCTGGTGAGGCACATCTGGAGTGCTGTGTCCAGGTCTGGGTTCCTCAGCACAAGAGAGACATGGAGCTCCTGGAGTGGGACCAGAGGAGTGCTACTAAGTTGATCAAAGGTCTGGAGCATCACTCTTATGAGGAAAAGCTGAGGGAGCTGGCCTGTCCAGCCTCAGAAAGAGTCAGAGGAGACCTCATTGGAGTCTGGAAGGAGGGTACCAAGAGGATGGATCCAGGCTTTTCTCAGTAGTGTCAAGCAATAGGACACAAGGCAACAGGCAGCAACTGATGCACAGGAAGTTCCACTTGAATATGAGCAACTTGGTCCCTGAAAGGTGTCCCTGCCCATGGCAGGGGGCTTGGAAGTACATGATTTTTAATATCCTTTCTAACCCAAGCCATTCTATGATTCTGATTCTATGAGGAAGAACTTCTTTTCTTTGCAGATGAATGAACAATGAACTCCCAGGTTGCCCAGGGAAGTTGTGGGATCTCCTTCACCAGAGATACTCAAGAACCATCTAAATGCAATCCTGTGCCATGTGCTCCCTGCATGACCAGCGAGGTTGGACCAGATGAGCCCACCAGTATTCCCTTCCAGACTTACAATTTTGTGATACACCTCATCCACGTGTGTGACTTTACTATAGTATTTTACTATATCATATAATAGTAAATGTACTATTATATATATTATATATATAATTATTATTATATATAGTATATATTATATCATTATTTTAGAATGTTAGTGTAATCATAAAAGGTGATTTATTTTAAGAAAGGATTTCTGAACAGCAATTCCTATTACCTCTAAGATTATGTAATCTATCTGACCACTAGTATCTATATTTGCAGACATACTTCACATTTCACTTGTATATAGCTCTTCATCAGGGTTTTTTCAACAGTTTTTGGGAGGAATCATGCAGCTCCTCACCTGCAGTCTGTTTGGGCAATATTGTGCATGCATGCTGATCAATACAACTGCATTTTCTTCTCTTCTGTTTTTTCAAACTGTAAATACCATTGCCTAAAACTTCACCTATGCTCAGTGCCTCATTTTCTCAACTTCCAAATCAGAATGCAACATTTGTTTAGAAAGTAGGTAGCAGGAAAGATCCTGTTATGGGATGGGACTTGTTGCTGTCAAACAGCTGACCAAGGCTAAACTACAAAGACCATTAAAAAAAATCTGAAGTGGTTTTGCTCCCATTCCATGTGTGAGTATTAGAGGGGAGCCAAATGGACTTGTAAGAAATCACTGCTGCATAGTTAATCAGGCTGCCTTTGTTTTTGAATTTAACTTACAACTCTTGCCAACTACTGTTTTCCCACTATTGTCTCTCAGAGTGCAGAATGAACAGCACCAGTCTATACCAATACAATCAGAATAAAATAATAGTACGATTTTAAAAAGAATGTGACCACAAATAACACTGAGAATTACTGTTTAGCCATGTAAAACAACGTTGTGCAAAGCACACTAACTGAGCACACCCTAAACATAACTGAATAGTCAAGGCGGGGAAGCTCTCCACTCACTGTTCCACAGCAGTGTGCTGGTTCTCTTCCTATGCTTGGGATAGCAGTGCATGGGAGATTTTGCCTGGGCTGTCACTTTTTGTCACGATCAGAATACAGCCAGGGACCATCTGTTGAACAGTTACTTGCATGGCAACATGTGGTATAACATTCAAATCAAGCCTAAATAAATAACTGCAATTTTTGAATTTCTTAGTTACTTTGTATTAATTCCATCAGACCTTCAAATTGGCTGAGCATTTCTATTTTTCTTGATTTCAGAGACATTATCTACTTTGCATAAGGATTTTAATCAGAATATGAATACCTGCTTTTAAGCCAACACCTTATTTTTTTTGGAAGGATGTCTTTCTGATATAGCAGGAGTAAACACTGATCCACAAAGAGAGCCTTTTTATTTCCTGTTTAAACTGTCAGTGAACAAACACGCTCCAAAGTTTGAATAGCCTACTGTTTTTACAGTAAATGCAACTCCTGTGATTACAGCACTATTTCCACCCCTAACACTTAAGGGCTAAAGTACTTCCTTTCTTAAACTATTGTAAACGGACTTATATTTATACAATAAATGCCACACCTGTTAGCATGGCATCGTCTCCACCTTAAGACGAGCACCCAGCTGCTAAAGCAGTTCCGTTCTGGAAATAAGAACCTAAGAACTTCTGGTTCTAAATCCGCAGCAAGAGACATTCTCTAGAGCGCAGCACAGGATGAGCTTTTTTTGTCGGAGAAATTTTTGTCACGGAATAATGCGACAGCCACTTGGCACATTCTGTCCCGAGCTTTTCCCAAGGGGCGTATCAGCCTCCCCTCTGTGCATTAAGAGGAAAAGGTGAGGAGGACACACAGAAGAGAGAAGATCTCCGCTGTGCTGGCCGAGCGGCACGCTGTAGTGCAGAGCGGGTGGGAAGCAGACCATCAATGAGGCTGGGATCATGGAGTCCAAGCTGTGACCGAACACCACCTTGTCAACCAGACCATGGTACCCAGTGCCACATCCAGCGTTTCCTTAAACACCTCCAGGGACGGTGACTCCATCCTCTCCCTGGGCAGCCCATTCCAAAGTGTCTCACCACCCTTTCTAGGAATTTATAGGAAGAAATTCCGCCTAATGTCCAACCTACACCTCCCCTGGCACAGCTTCAGGCTATCTCCTTTCGTCACAGCTTCGGACTATATCCCCTTGAATGAAGCGAGCTGCGTTTGTGGGCACAGGGCCGGGCCGCGGGGGGTGGCAGAGACATGGACACGGGCAGGGAGAGGGGCACGGCCATGGCCATGGCCAGGGACAGTGACAGGGACACCGCCGGAGCAGAGACAGGCGCTGGCGGAAGTGGCGGCCACCGCCCCCGCGCGCGTCACGGCGCGGCGCAGGCGCGCGGCGGGGCTG